ACACCAGCTTGGAACCTGTCCCAAGAGGGCTATTTAACAGTATGGGTCTATGTGTAGGTGGCTCTTGCTAGTCGCACACACTCAGCCTTACCAAGGATAGCCCAAATCACTCCTCCAGTCACCCTACAGCAGTTCAGGAATAAACAAAAGCTCAGAGAAGAATAATCACATGAGTAGATCATGACCTATTCAACAGCTATCACCTGTGAGACCCAAGATATGGAATGGAATTTCTAGAAGGAAAAACTATTCCTCAAAAACAATGGAAAAGCAACAGGCCCAAGCAATATAAAAAAGGCAGAGGAGGAGCAGGAGGTTGTTAGCCTGTTAAGCTGCTATTGATTCTTCTGTACAACTGAAAAATAGCTCAGTGTTACAGATCCTGGGGGGGAGGGGGGAAGTGGAAATAACAATATAACGAAAATTTCCAGGCTCTTCCTCTTCAGGATATGAGACTGGATTAGAATATTCTGCTCTACTGCTTAAGCACCCACCAGGTAACAGGAGGTAAGCAATGTGGGTACACACAAACTGGAGGAGGGAGTGTGATGTTTATGCATTGGTGATATAGCTGCTGAAGTGATACAGGGTTTTAATCTCTCCCCTTCCCCTTATATTCCAAACTCAGACCTTTCAAGTTTGGAGGAATTTGATTTTTCCACAACTGGCAGGCAAATTAACCAGTAGTGCAGAAGAGACAGCAGTCATCTAATATTTCATACCATATGGGTCGTGTGTGGTTCACAATAGTGCGGAAACGAGGTTTCACATAGTCATAGAATCCACTGTTTTTGTGCTCCTCCTGACACCAAACTAAATCAGCTCCAGGATATCTCTCAAGCTCTTCCTTTAACAGATCAAAGGGGAATGGAGAGATCTGAAAAGGAGAATGGACAGTGAAAGATAAATGGCAAAGATCTTTTCCATGGTCAGATACCACAGAGAAATTTTATCTGTCAAAATTTATGTAGAACTGCTACCCATTTATTAGAAACTACACAGTAGTTACAGCTAGCAGACTGAGTAATGGAGGTTAGAGCCAGAAGCTACCAAATTCTAATCTTGGTTTTGCCATTTTTTTCTTGATCCCACAATCCCCATTTTACAGAAAGGAAAATTGCTTAATCCTCCTAAGCCCCTTGTGAAGCAGGCAAGCAGTAATGTTTCTGAACATCTGATTTTATATACAACTGCTACATATCATCATCATGCCAGGCAAGTCCAAGCAGCTTAAAAGCTAGCTCAGTTACAATCTGTGGCTGAAAACAAACTTAAAGTCTTCTTTTCAGTAAGGATCAGGACACTCACCTGCTCTAGCCGAGTTAGAGCCACTTGCCCTTCCAAATCTTGGTTTTTTCTCTCTTTAACAAGATCATAATACACTTTCCCTGTACAGAAAATCACCCGCTTAACCTCAGTCGGCACTTCCACTGCAATTCCTTCCTCTGGAATCACTCGTCTGAAGCTCGCACCTATTAATATCAAAAGATCTTTTAACATTAGTTATTTTGACACCGTTTATTTGAACACACTCCAGAAGGCAGCCCATTACAAGATAAGAAGCTTATCCCAGCTCTCCTGAAAGCAGATTTTAAACACCAATTTCTCTTTTGGCATGCACTGGACTGCTGTTTTTACCTACATTTTGTGTGCTGTAGACTAGACTTAATAGCCTTTCATTGCTAACATGGATATATTTTAACAGGGCATGCCATCAAGTAAGACAAATAGCTGTTAATTCTGCATTTAAGTCTGGAATAAAGAAATGCATTTTAGAATGCCTTAAGGTACATTCTCCACATGCCACCCTCTATTTTATATTCCAGTGAAATATTAAGACTATGTTACTAGCCTCTTTGTGTGATCAAAGCCTTTTGTTTGAGACATTAAAAAGGATTATCTGGAAAGAGGAGACAAGAAACCAGTAATGGACTTAACTATGTAATACATTTTAGACTGTATATCACAAAACTACCTGACAGTAAGATGTATTCTCCCTCTGGACCCGTCTCAAGAGACTTGGTTGAAACTTTTGCTAGGGACCCACAAAACTAGAGTGTACAATAGGGGCAATCCTGCACTGGCAGGGAGATAGACTTTGTCTTACAGGTCTTTTCCATCTTTCACTCCTATAAGTGATTACAGCTGTTCCTGTCTCAACCAACCATGAGGTGGCAAATAGTAGCATTGACCTCCAAGTCTGAACCAATGCAACACACCCACGTACCAGGAAAATAAAGTCCTGTTTGCACCATTTATCTTACAGAGAAGAATAGATACAAATGCATGAAAAAAACTGATTTATGTCCAACTTATCTAGTCTGACTGAGCAGAGTTCATATTTTAAGACCACTATGAATCTGTGCTTTATGGAGCTAGCCTCCTCCTTTCAGCCTTCACACTTTAATAAAAAAAAGTAAGCAAGGTGGTGAGCTAATATACGTAACCCTTTGTATTCACTTACAGTAACAACATTCAAGTACATTTATTTGAATATTGAACTAGAACCCTTGGCCACTACCATGGATTAATACAGAATAAGTATGGAAAATAAATAGTAAGGGGACAGAACAAACACCTAACTTGGTTAATTTACATTGGTTTTGTATGCCAAATACAAGTAACACCAAATTAGGAATGGGCACACAAGCAGCTATCCTGGGACAGCTCACAAAGTAAGCATATCTTATTGAATCTCATTACTAGGCACAATAGGAAACACACAGTCGCCTGTTTTGCCTTTAGTAACGGGCTTTTCTGAGATAGATGTAGACAAAACCTGAACTACTATACAACTGACACCAGCAGACTCTTACTCTAGAAACAGAATTACTGCAGAAGAGTAATTACACCACATTACCCTGGCTCACGTT